CTTTCAAAAGCCAATAGAATAAAAGGGAGTAGCACAGCTAAGGAAAAGGGGGGGAAAATGGCGGACTGCGTTGTTTGGCGACCCCCGTGAAATGGTCGTTCGACCCCAAATGGGGTCCCGACCCACAGGTTGAGAACCACTGCTTTAGTCCCTTTATCAAATCAGAAGTTATTTCATCTGCCATACTGGTAGGCATTATTCCACAGTTGCTCTTTTAATCTTTTTTTAATTTATATTGTTATTGATGGATACAAATTATTACATTATCTCATTTTATTGGAAATTTACCATATTAACTGTATATAGTTTTACCTTACCTTATTTGCTGCCTTTAAAATATACTGCTCAAAAAAAAAATAAATAAAGGGAACACAAACGTATAGGATCCTATACGTTTGTGTTCCCTTTATTTTTTTGAGCAGTATATATAATATAAACCACACAGAGAGAGAGAGATACATATGTATACATACACATGATACAAAATTCATAGGTTTAAAATGCTTATTAAAGAGATCTTCTGAGACTCTCCTTAACAGAAATTAGTAAATAAGAAGTCATATTTTTGATGAGGGAGGGAGGGAGGGAGGGAGGGAGGGAGGGAGGGAGGGAGGAAGGAAGGAAGGAAGGAAGGAAGGAAGGAAGGAAGGAAGGAAGGAAGGAAGGAAGGAAGGAAGTTGGGAGGAGAATGTACATATTGCAATTCAACATTAATGTGGAAGCAGACTGTAGTTCAGGTTGACTATCTCATAGCATGGAAGTCCTGAGGAAGTAAACAGGCATTAATTTAAAAAACATTACAATTATCATAATAACTAAATAATCAGCAATTCCCTTTTATTTTCATATCCCATCCATTAATTGTTAGGGCCATTATGAAAACAAAACACTAAACATTAAAACCCTTTGTTCAATCCCACAACTCTGTATAAAAATATGTTTTATATTATTTCTCGTTGAATTTCACACTGGATTTCCACATGGGCTTCATATCTGAATTGGTTACATTCTCAAGTTGCCACAAAGACCTCAGAAAATGTTTAATAAGACTTGGTTACAATCATCCTGTGGCTGCAGATGTAAAACCCTTATGGTATGGGCTTCTCTTATTATTTTTACAAATAAGACCAACATCAATATGATTGAGAATATATCCCTGGAACATAGGTTAAGGATACAAACAAGCTTCATGGTTATATCCTAGTATTGACAATCTATCAAGAAATCAGAAACTGTAGATTTTCCATGCATAAGGTTTTCCTTAAAACACAAGACATTTATACTTGGTATGCTGCAATAGATTTATCAGCGTTTGAATTAGTCTTAGAAAAATTAAATTACTTTCAAGCAATATAGATCAAAGTTTTTGAAGTTTATTATATAATTTCTAGGGCACAACAAGAAATAACAGGTCAAAGTTCATTAAAAAAAGATCCAATTTAGAACTAAGGAGAAATTTCCTGACAGTGAGAATAATTAAGCAGTGGAATGGCCAACCAGCGCTCCATCACTGCAGGTTGTCAAGAAGAGACTGGACAGCCATTTGTCTGGAATGGTATATATAGGGACTCCTGCTTGAGCAGGGGATTGGACTAGTCACTAGAAGACCTCCAAGGTCCCTTTCAGCACCATTAATCTATGTTATATGTTCTAAATTACTATGCAATTTATTAATTGCTGTTTTTGTTTTGTTCCTTTAAATCTATTGCATTGTATCCATTAATTCTATTGCTTTTAATTACTATGCATAATCAAATAAATTTGGCCACAGAAGTTAAAATATAATTTACATAAATTAGTATATTGCTGGTAAAAGCAATAAAATATGGTTCAAATTTACAGACAGGGAGAAAGTCATATTTGCACATTATTGTAAGATAGATACTACAACATATTAACCACATTGTGAATAAGTGGTGTGCAAACAGCTTTTTACTCCTGCTTCACAGATTCTAAACAAATTAGTTAGGGAAAGGATAGTGATAGGACAATAGGGTCTATATGTTTCAGACCCAGGATGTAGCCAAGATGGAATCTGCAGCTGAAGAAGTTGTATGTATCAGGTGAATGTAACTTTTGAACCAGAGATTGTTCAAACAAACCATAAATCAATTTCAAACAAGTCTTTTTAATACCTTACAAGTCCTGATTTGTTACTGTACAATCCTGAAATGAGAGATCATAACACAGTATCCCTTCTGAATAGATCCAAAATATACTCCAAGGCTGGTGAGTATTTGGATTTCACGAGAATAGGAATTTGGAATTTCATTAGTCAGGCAACATTGAACTCATATAATTCTAAGATTTTATTAATGTTCAGGATAACTTTTATTGCTTTATAGCAAGTACAAAGAGTTGATTCATGGTATAATGGAAAGACAAATTTACTCAGCTCGCAACAGTGTGGGTTGCTTCAGATAATGGCATAAGGAAGAGATGGTAAAATGGTAAAAATTGATAAAAAATGACAAGGAATGATAAAGTCAAAAGAGATTATAGCTTAGCTCATATGCTGATCCTTGATAAGTGCATCTCAATAAAGAAGAATCCCACAACATCCAGTACATGTAGAACAGCCTGACAATGTTTCTCAATCTCAGCAGCTTCCAGATGTGTGAACTCCCAGAATTCCCCAGCCAACCATCTTTCTTACACTTTATACTAGACTAGGAAGAGATAGATTAGAAGGCCTGAGGTAACATGGGAAAAAAAGGCATTTAGGGAGGAACAGAATAGGAATTGTTGGGCTATGCAAACACTCAATATTTTTGCAATATCATGAAATAAACAAGTATTCCTTGCTAAACATGTAAGACATATTCCAATCAACCATTAAAGCCAAGTCTACTACATGTAGAGGGAAGGTTGTTTTTACTATTGGTAGCATTGCACCTTTATATACATCTACAACACAGCTGTCAAACTCGTTGCATCACGTGACATATCGCGACGTATTGTGACTTTTTTTGCATTGCCGGAGCTGGGGTGCGCGGGGCTTCCGTATGATGCAACCGGCCCATGGACCAGCAGTTTGACACCCCTGATCTACAATTAAGTGAAATTCTCACAATAAGATGGATGATGAAATGTAGTCACATAGAACACTTCTCATTAAGCTAACTGTATCACATTTACACCTAAGTAATTTTGATGAGGGAGAGATAGTTTTGTGCAGTGGTTGAGGCAGCAGGCTAGAAATCAGGAGACTGTAGTTTTAATTTCATCTTGGGCCAGTCATTCTCTCTCAGCTCTAGGAAGCAGGCAAGGCCAAACCACTTCCAAAAACTTTGCCAAGAAAACTGCAGGGACTAGTCCAGGCAGCAGTTAGGAATCAAAAACTGACTTGAAGACATTTCTCCCCTCCCCCAAAAAATAAAATGGCTAAGCCAGCATCTTATATCCTGCATTGAGCCTTGTGAAAAAACGTTGCTTCTCTGATATGTCACCTGCCTGAAAATTACAATTATCAGACCACAGCTACTGCAGTTATTGCCAGGACCTGACAAAAACCCTCCCTACACATACCACACATATACAAATAGTCTAATCATTAGCTTCCATATAAAAAATCAGGAGCTCTTTACAGTATAGAAATGAAACTATTTAACTATGTGGATAATTTTTCTATCAAAATGCAAGTTAATCTCCACCAGTTAACTTCCAACCTATTCCAAATGGCTCATAGTCACATATTTCTTCTGTAATGCTGATGGTCCTGCTAGTGCAGTGGTTCTCAACCTTTTTAATGCCGCGACCCCCAACTGGTCGTAAGTTGAGGACTACTCAACTGGTGTAGCACCGTTTGCAGAATGGGATTTTTGGCGGGCTCAGCAGGGCAGAGACAGCCTGGACAATTCCTATTGGCTTTTGAAAGCCAATAGAATTAGACTCTATTCAAGGAAGTCTATTCTATTGGCTTTCAAAAGCCAATAGAATAAAAGGGAGTAGCACAGCTAAGGAAAAGGGGAAAAAAATGGCGGACTGCGTTGTTTGGCGACCCCCGTGAAATGGTCATTCGACCCCAAATGGGGTCCCGACCCAGAGGTTGAGAACCACTGTGCTAGTGGACAATAAATTAAACTATCTAAATAAAGACACACATATATTTTGAAGATAACAATATGTTCAAAGGAACAACAATGCTATCTTACCTAAGAAATCAAAAAGATTAATTAAAGCCAAAAGTTTTAATAGTCTAAAGGCAAAGCCAGGTATCATCACTGCAATTTTTTAAACTGAAGCCACATCTTGATTCAATGAAATCATTATAGTGTCCACTGAAATGTTAACAGTATTCCAGGGGTCCTTAGCAGCTTTAAGACTTGTGGATTTCAACTCCCAGAATTCCCTAGCCATTCCCACAAGAAAGCAGACCTCTGCATTTATGTCCCTATCTTGCATGATTCTGGGCTAAGCTAATCTATAAAACAATATATTAATAAACAGATATTAACTTATTTAAACTAAGAGCAGAGTTAATGTAAAGGATATATATGAACAGTATCAAAGGGACTTGAGTGATCATTATCATTTAAATTAGTAAACAAAAATGGAAAGAGTAAATGCAAAAATGGAGAAAATTGAGACATTTAAAAATATAACAGATATTTGGAGCATTTCTTACTCCAATATCTCTGTAAACCTGAGACTTCAAAGATTTGCTCAGGAAATTTGAGCCACTTAATACCATTTGTATTGGGGCTGCTTTATGCATATTCTTTTGACCAAAAGGTATCTTAGACAGGTTGTAGTATAAGCATGTTCTGCAATATATACAGAATTTAGACCCCCCTCTCCCCCCCCCCAAAGTTATCAAAGCCAGTTTAAATGAAGAAATTAAAGAATGGCTTTGGAATTGATATAAAGTTTCTTTTTTACTGTAAGTAGAATTCTTTCTAATTATGAGTTATCAAGCCTTTTCAAATTTAAGAATTCCAATAATTCCAACCTTATCACATTTGCCAGACTGGAACCTAAACCTTAGAGGAACTTATTTTGTGATTATTTCAGGCAGCTTTCTCAAAGCAAATTCTGGGAGTGGGAGCCAGAAGATTCAGGAAGGCCGTTTTGGATCTCTCCAATTGAATCGGAGAGTGCAAGCTGAGGATGCGGCTGAAGCTGGTTTTGAAATTATTATTTCCCAGCCCCAAAAACCATTCTGTCGCTCTTGGATCACGCATCCCAACTCCAAGATCAACCCACCGAGACACACCTGTAGCTGGTCCTTGACACTCGGGGCGTACTTCGTCCTTTACTCCAGGCGGGGGCGCCTCGTCTTACAAGCTTTGCTCGCGGCAGAAGCCCCAGGGCTCTCTCAAGGAGGGGCGCCCTGGCTGGAGGGCGCCGGTACTGGCGACGGAATTCTTCAGCTGCTTAATGACCCCGAAGAGGAGCAGGACGAGCAGGAAGAGCAGAAGGAAGAAAAGCGCGAGGTAGAGGAGCAAGTTGAATTCCCACTCCATGGCGCCGCTGAGGCCATCCCTCACTAACTGCCCCGCGAGGCCTCCTGTTCCAAGGAGGGGGCGAAATCGGGTTATTCAGCCGCCCCGGGCATCTCTTCATCGAGCTCCTCCCGCTACACACATACACGCTTTCTTCGCCTAGTCTGGGAGCCAAACGAAGGAGACGCGGGAAGGACCGCCAGAAGGTTCTCACCGACTCTGGTTGGGAACAAACAACAACAAATCAGTTCGTCGCGGTAAAGAGCTGGCGCTTCTAAGGGCTGTTTTCACTCACAGACCCCGCTGAAGGAACACGCAGAGACACACGCACACGCCGCACTTGAACGGATTGCTTAGCACAGTCGCACAGATAAATGTTCCGCGCGTTCAAGATCGGGTCTCCATAAGTTGATTGAAAACAGCCAAGGGGGGGCCGTCGGGTGAGGCAGAAACCTTCCCCCCACCCCCATCAAAATAGCAGGATCCCGGCAAGAGAAGCCGGCCAGTGCGGCCGCTGCTTTTGACCAACCTATAAACCCGGGGAAAGGCGAGCAAGTGGGAATAAGGGTGGGATTGAAGGAGCAACGGACCGAGCACCGCCAACTCTACGGACGTAAATGGACCACAGCTCCCGTCAGCCCCCTCCCAGTGGGCGCTCGAGACCTTTGGAGAGCATCAAATCTGGAGCCCCGCCAAGCGAGACGCAGAGGGAGAGCGGCTTTTCTGACATTAAACGAGGCTGCCTAGATCAGTGGGTCAATGCTGTCCTTTCAGAAAGCGGTGAAGTTTGTTACTGTTCGCGCTAGAAAAAAAAATTACAGCGAACGTTTCTAGCAGACTCCCAACAGCCCTGTCGCCCCCCCCTTTTTTTGGGGGGGGGAGCACTGTGCTGAAGAGGGTCAGGCAACACGTCTTGCCCTTCTGCACATTCCAGCCAGTTTTGCATCCGCTTCTTGATTCAGAAATTCTCGAGTTCCTGAGCAATTATTTAATGCCTCATAAGTATGTAAGGGATTGTTTCTTTTAACTTTCATTTGGAATTCTTAGGTGGAAGGATGGCAACAGTTGATAGCATCCCCCTTTTTTGTACTTTGATTTCATGTGTGGAATTTCCACAGAGGCAGCTAAAATGCAGACTTTATTTATAAATATATAAATATGGAAAGGAAAGTGATATAAGTCAAGATAACTCTTTAACTACAGACATAATCTGAATGCATTATGCATTATTCAAATTATGCATTCTATTTACCATTGACCAACTAAAATACCCACTGAAAAACACTATTCATTTATGAACAACATAATAGTCTGATCATTGAACATAACAGATTAATAGTTCAATCAAAGATTTAAAAATACATTAAAAAACTTTTAACAGTCAGTTTGATCTACTGGCTAAGACATCAGATGAGAAACCAGGAGGCCATGAATTCTAGTCACTCCACCTTAGGCATGAAAGTCAGGTGGATAACTTTGAGCCAGTCACTCTCTCAGACCAACCATCTCACAAGTGCAGAGAAGAGGAAGTAGTAGTATGTATGCTTGCCTTGAGTTATTTACAAAGCAAAAAAGGTGGAATAAAAATCTAATAAATAAAATCCATTATAAATTGCTTGTTCCAGCTACCATTATTCCTTTGGCTTGTGCTCACTACTAGAGAAATCCACTTAATGGTGTATGTGGACTGCACAACCACATGAGGAAGCCTTTAGATTTATAATTTTCTTATCCATCCCATGTATTATGAAGGAAAGAGAATAATGGCTTTGGAAATGTAGATATTTATCCATTATTTATTATTAGATTTATATCCTGCCTTTCTTTGCATGACTCAAGAGTAGCATTCCAGGGCTCCATCTCCTATTTTTCCTCAACAACCCACCTGTAAGGTGGGCTAGGCCAAAGGACAGTGAGCAGCCCAAAGTTTCTGGTGGTCATGATGAGGAAGGACTAGCCCCTTTCCCGTTTTCTTGTCCACCACCTTAAACACTTTATGAGATTCAGAGTTTGTGATCCATTTATCTTACACTCATCCTCTTAAAAATGAAATACTATGTATGGCTTTCATTGAATTGGTTCTGCTCCTCTGACTCTAAACCCAATTGCTTAATTATAAGCACTATTTCATTATAGGAAAGACAATACAGTGCCAATAATAAAATGGGTATTTATATTTGTGTACATATCAACTGCACCTGATTATGCCATTGTTATAAAAATAAAAAATAAAGTACTGTGAAAAATAATAACAGTCCAGGCACCCGTGCATGTCCAGAGCCCTTTATCATTTGCTGCACTTTTGATTGTCACTAGGGGACTTCCAAGATTTGAGGTTCCCTGACTTTGATACTACTGGAAGAATCTGGACAGACTTTGAAAGATCCACTTCTTCCAATTCAGACTTCTCTTAACTTCTAGTTTACTCTTTCTGTGTATAAATTATATTTCAGAGATTGAAGAAAGTCAAAATAACTACTTGCTATTAATCCACAAAGTGCTGCATTATGTAATGGCAAGTTCATTCCAATCATATAGTGCATGGACAATGAGGCCACCTGGTAGGAATTTGTGGAATTATGAATATAATGCTGTCTATTTACATGGCATTTTATCAAGAATAAAAGTGCAGGTGTTAATCCAAAGAGCTTGCAAATAAGATTGTCACTAGGAAGATAAGAAGCAAAGGAAAAGAGGAAACCATATGCAACATTTCAGTTAAACACATAGATTCTATGGTTACAACAGATATTCAGTCTAAAGATTAATCCATGATGCTTTAAAATGCCATTTTTGTACAGGATTTAGTGAAAAGATTCATAGAAAAGTGCTTATGGGCTATTTTAATCCTTAAAACTTTCCACAATATTTATTTATTTATGAGGTGGCTCATGAAAGAGATTAGATAACCATGATACTGGAATGGTAATGTTTGTGCTTTTCAATTTCACTTTTCCTTGAGTTTCCAGGATAATCCAAGCTTTTAATTGACTGATCAAGAAAACCTAATCATCACCACCACTACTAGGAAAAACATAAAAGGTTTTTTTTTTTTTAGCAATGTAAATAGCATTTGTTATGACATAGCTTTCAGGTATTGGACAAAATCTGGAGTCACAATAAATTTGTTTGTCTTTAAGATACTACAGTGACTTTATTACAAGACTAGGAAACTGATTATAGAAGGATAAGAACAACATAGGCAGATTTTTAGAGTCTATCTATGTTGTATTTGTGTTCAAAACTCCCATATTCAGCTGGAATAACTTGATGCTTAAAACTTCTTAATGAGATATTTTGATAACATACAGTATGCCAGTAAGCTGGAAATGGTACCTTAATCCTGCCCACTTATTTTATATTGATCCTACTATCAATTGTGCAGTTCACATTCCAACTCAGTGATTTTTCATAAACAGATCTTTGTTCTATCTAAACACAATTGAGCATATTGCATAAATGAAAGCATTTTAAGGCATCTATTTACACTTTATACATAAGTGACTGCATTCCAATGTTTCATCTATTTGTACAAAAGTTAGATTACATTCACATTTAAACAGTGAGTTCTTGCATATTGCCACCAATAACAAACAGCAGTTTGGATTTTATTTACTAATCCTCCAAACTACTTTATTTTGAACAAGAAACCATTCAGAAACTCCAGTTTTCTAGTGACAAAACAGATAAAGGAAGCCATTCCTTTGGCTTTCTGTAGGAATAAAGTTCTTTCCAAGAGCATGGAGTAGAATTGCAACCTTTGCCCTGATATAAGATAGTTTGCAAGGAACTGAGCCTTTGTAAAGCTGCTATCAAATTTCTCTTCTGTGCTCAGGGACTCACACATTTTTCCATTGCTAAAGTCATAATGATCACAGTAGTTTCTTTTGCTGTGTCCCATAGGAAAAATATGTCTGCTACTTTACCACAACTTAGATTGTAGTATGTACCTCATAAGAGTAGTGTGTGGGCTACCTTGAGATTATCGCAACTTCATATTATAATCTAGCTTGGGTTCCCAACCCCTGGTCCATGGACCAGTATCGGGCTGCAGACTGACAGCAACCAGGCCACACAAACAAGCAAAACCCCATTGCAAGATGCAGGCAGCACATAAAACCACACCGCCTCCGGTCCATGGAAAAACCTCTCTCCACAGAACCAGTCTTTGGTACCCAAAAGGTTGGGACCTCTGATCTAGCTCACAAGCTAACCTATCTTTTGGGTTTAGTTGTCCATTAGACCAAGGATCCCCAGGCCCCGTTCCATGGACTGGCACAGGGCCCCAGCACGCCAGAAACAACATGTCCACGGAAACAAAGCCCCTCTGTGGGATGCAGGCAGCATGCGAAATCATGCCCCCTCTGGTCCACGGAAAAAACCTCTCCACAGAACCAGTCACCGCTGCCCAATTGGTTGGGGGCTGTTGCATTAGATGATAGACATATGATCAGCAAGGCATTGATCACATAGATGTCCCATCTGGCTGGAATTTTGATATCAGGTAACGACAAATCAAATCTGTTTGCATGAGACTTGTAGATAAAAACTGCCCTAACAAAATCAGGTGAAAATTTCTTTTTTTAAAAAAGGTAAACGCTGAACAGAATATTTTGTTAAATAATTTATGATTCTTCACTCATTGCACTGATTTGCATCTTCATTCCTATGTGGAAGGCCAAGAATTTGCCAATGTTTATTTTTGTTTATGGGACAAGAGTGGGTGTGTAAAAAGATGTCCTTTTGCCTCAAGTTGCAAGCCACCTTAAGTCATATTTGCAAAGGAGTAAATCCAGAGTTTATTTCTGAATAAGCTTTGATAAGATTGCACTGTCAACTGTATTCTTACAATAGTGTTAAAGTTTAAATCATCAGTGCATGTTTTTTTCAATTGAATGTTGACATTCCACATTTGATTGCAGTGTTATTTAGAATGTTATGTGCCGGTCTCAACCTACTTCGTTTGCTAAAAACTTTCTCTTTCAACAGCATGAAGTATGGCATCTTGATTACACCAAAACCAAAATGAAATTCTTTTATGTTAACTTGAAAGAAAATTAACTCCTAGAGGCTATTCTTTCTAGACAATCAAGCAAAAGTGCTTACTGATGGTGAAACCTTATTGTGGAGACATTTCTCATACTGTATCTGATGAAACAAAAGCCAAAAACTATTTAGAGAAATGAGAATTAAATTAGTCTCAGGCTTTCAACAGAACCAGTCTTGTTATTGGAGAGCAAGACTAGCGCCCCGGGAAGCAAATATCATAGCATTCCACACCTGTGGTCTTGAGCCTGGGTGGCCATTTTCTGGACTAGATGACATCTCCTTCAGTCCTGCACCTCCTAAACTAATTAAACAGTTTATCAAAGTCTATAGCAGAAAACACTGCAGCTTCAATTATTAGTCCAGATTGTTTGTTTTGAAAGTGACAGGTGTACCATTTCATCTTCTGCAAAAGGCAGCAAAACATTTTTCTGTTGCTACGTCAAGCTATTATTCTGTATATTACCCTGAAAAGACAGGTGTTCATTAGGAAGTTGGTACTGTAGTGTAAATTAAATTTTAAAAGATAATAATAAATACCATTTTTAGTCCTGCATTTTGTTTTCTATAGCAATCAGTCTTGTCTTCCTTCATTTATCCTTTAGTTTCCACCTCCCATGTTCCCTGGCTTTAAAGTCATTCATCACTACATCTTCTATAAGGGAATTCCATAATGAAGTACTTTTTAATTTAGTTTCTACATTTATTTCTAATCAACTTCATTGGATGGAATCCTTCACCAAGCATTTTGAGAAACAGAACAAACCTTTCTACATTTCCCGTATCATGCATGATTTCATATTCCTCAACCAACTTCCAATCCCTTTCCATTGTTTTTTTTCCCTAACCCTCTAGGTGCTCTACTTTTTACTTTCCTCTATTTATAAAACTGTTTAGTTTTATTTTAAAAATTGTATTTTATAATTAAAAATTATAAACCTGAGACAAGACTGCTTCTTTTCTGTTTGTAGCATTTTTTATTCATTTTTTTAAAAACTGGTTTCTAACACAATAGATTATGACTGCACATATGACATGTGATCCAACCCACTGCACCTGGGGATTCTATGAGAAACAATAATTATTGTTTAAAAGGTCCAGATTTGATATTAAGCATGCAGCCATTGCCTGCCATGCAAGTGGAATAAATGCTATGTTAGAAGGAATGAAATCCACTAAAGACCAAGACTAAGACATTTTACTTGCTTACTTAATGCACTGATGAAACATTCATAACTAAAATAAACTATAGCAAATGATATTTTACAATATTTGGCCATTTTAAAATCTTATCATAAGAGCTCTTATAACAGCTACTTATGAATTAAAAGTGCAGAAATGCTACACTGTTTTTGCCAAACATATTGTAATATTTTGAACCACGAACAAGATTCCATAAAAAGAATCACCATCTGACAATAGATGCTTAAAGATGTACTAAAAAGTAAAGCCAAATTATTTAAATTGGTTTATACCCATGAATCTAAATAGGATTTCAGATTGAAACTAAGTCTTTAATACCAGATAGCCACAACATATTTCATAATTCTGTATTTTTAAAAATCCTATATTTGCTAATATATGTAATACAAATTTTTACAAAGTTTAAATTTTCCCCAGAAATCTTATTGAATAGGATTTATTCCCAGGAAAGTATTATATAGTGTATAAACCTGCAGCCATCTGGATGTAGTCTACAGTCCCATTACTGTACTTGATATTACACTGAAATCACATTTTATCTTACACTAAAGTATTTATAACTTACTTGATTGCCCCACAGTTGAAGACAGAAAAACATTTCTGATATAGTTCTAAAAACTAGTATGTTATACTGGTTGTAACTTGGTTGTAACTGCTCCAGTCTGCAGTAACTTCTCCTAGTATAAGTTATCTCTTCCTCTGACAACAAAAGGCCTACAAGTCCAAATTTGTTTTAAGATGAAGGATTGAAGGATACCATTGCCTTAAGGATATAATTTGTTCAAAATAATAGAGAATTGCACTAAGTATTAATAATGTTTGCTTCTGCTCAGAAATCCAAATGAATATATTTCATAGTCTTTTAAGGAACATCTAGATCAGTGGTTCTCAATCTTCGTAATGCCGCAACCCTTTAATACAGTTCCTCATGTTGTGGTGACCCCCAACCATAAAATTATTTTTGTTGCTACTTCATAACTGTAATTTTGCATGAATCATAATGTAAATATCTGATATGCAGGGTGTATTTTCATTGTTACGAACTGAACATAATTAAAGCATAGTGATTAATCACAAAAACAATACAGCAATGCTCGCTGGAGAAGCTTACTCTTCCTTACTCAAAAATGTTGGGAGGGAGGGAAGGGGAAGGAAGGAAGGAAGATTGAAGGGGAAAGGAAGGAGATGGAGAAGTAAGGAGATTGAAGGAGGAAGGAAGGAAGGAAGGAAGGAAGGAAGGAAGGAAGGAAGGAAGGAAGGAAGGAAGGAGAGAAAGATTGAAGTGGAAGGGATGGAGATGGAAGGAAGGTTGAAGGGGAAAAGAAGATTGAAGGGGAAGGAAAGAAGGAAGGAAGGAGAGAGATTGAAGGGGTAGGGATGGAGATGGAAGGAAGGAAAGAAGGAAGGAAGGAAGATTGAAGGGAAAAGGAAGGAGATGGAGAAGGAAGGAGATTGAAAGGGGAAGGAAGGAAGGAAGGAGAGAGATTAAAGGGGAAGGGATGGAGATGGAAGGAAGAAAGGAAGATTGAAGGGGAAAGGAAGGAAGGAAGGAGAGAGATTGAAGGGATGGAGATGGAAGGAAGGAGATTGAAGGGGAAAGGAAGGAAGGAAGGAAGGAAGGAAGGAAGGAAGGGAAGAAAGAAGGAAGGAAGGAGAGATTGAAGGAGAAGGGAAGGAAGGAAGGAGAGAGATTGAAGGGGAAGGGATGGAGATGGAAGGAAGGAAGGAGATTGGAGGGGGAAGGAAGGAAGGAAGGAAGGAAGGAAGGAAGGAAGGAAGGAAGGAAGGAAGGAAGGAGAGATTGAAGAAGGGAAGGAAGGAAGGAAGGAAGGAAGGGAGGGAGGAAGGAA